TATAATATGTCAAACTTGTATTATGTACTGTATTGATCAAAGAGTAGTGAAATTGAATTTTTTTTTATATGTAAAATTTTGATTATATAGAAGTATAAAGTAATATTAGAGGAAAAATTAAATGTTTAGAAAAAAGTTTCGATTAATTTTCTTTTTTCTTATTTGTCTTTGTTCTACTTCACTTAAAGAACATGATACAATTTGCTATGGATAATAATTTGATGTCATTTGTAAGATAAAAGCTTGATGCATATGCATAAACTAATTAGAGAAAATGGTTATGTTGATGAAAGGAGTTGAAGTAATTACAAATATTACTTTCTGCGCACGAAAATTATTTTTTTATTTTAAATTGTCCGGTGAATTTAATGTTTATTGTCAACAATGAATTTTTTTTACATTTTTTTAAAGCATTTGATTTTTAAGATTTGCGAAAATTTCCCTATTCCCATTTATCTTTATTTTACTTATAAATAATAAAATATAAATAAATTTTAATGTGTATTTTTATGGATGTAAAAAAAGCCTCATGTTTTCTATTTTTTAATATTATTAAATTATTATAATAATTTATTTATTATAATTATAATTTATATTATGTTTATTTTTAAGACATAGAAATTAAGTATTTGAAACCTAATTAAAAGAATTATTTTAATCAACAAAAAATCTCTTTTAATTTAGTTGGAAAAATTAATTTTCAATTTTAATAATAATTATTCAATAAATTTAATGTTGGTAATTAATATTAAATTATTATGAAAATAATATTATATGATTTAATGTAGAAAACAGAAGGCATTGTGTATTAGTTACTGTTTTTATATGTTTGAATGTTAATAAATATTTGTGTTACGAAGTTATTTAATGGACATATATACGTGATTATATTATTGTTAAATGAAATTTACTCGTCATATTGAATTAACTTTTGCATTTGTGACAAATTAATAATCAATCATCTTTTTCTAAATGTATGTCATTATCGTTTGTGTTATTGTCGATGTTTGTTAATTCACTTCTTCCTTCACCTTGATTTCTCAAATCGTGTATTTCTTCATACAAATTGTATTTTCAATATTCCATTTATTGCAGTGCTGACTCTCGTGGATCTTAATTAATCATATTTATGTGAAAAATAGGTATTTGTATACTGTGTCTGGGATGTGAATTAATTGTCATATTTTTAGTTGTAAGTGTCGCAATATGGTGTTTCTATCTATAAACAGTGTTTTATATTGTCATCCTCTTCGTCAAGAAATATGTTGCTGCTATTAGATTCGATTTTCGATTATAGGTTGTACTCGCATATTCTTCGCTTTTGCACAAAGTTTCGTGTCTTTTATGTATATTTTATGCTTTAGGCTTTATACTTAAAAGTGATTTGCAATTTTTTTTTTATTAAAGTCGACGATATTTCTTATTTGACAAATTTTTAATTTCTTTATTCAGATTTTAAAATTATTTATTTTTTATTTATTAATATTTCTACTTTTCGTTTTCATTTTTTAGTTTTTATGTTTCGTTTTCTTTTAGCAATATTTATTAAAATTTATTTATTATTATTTTTTATATTTTTGTTAAATTTACATTGTATCTCTTTTCCTCTTTCTTCTGCGCGATTCTTACTCGTTGTTATTGTCTTCTTAATTTATTTTTTATTCATAATCCAAAATGATGCATACTAGTTGTGAGGAAAATTTATTGCTATATTACAATATTTTATGGGAAAGAGAAAAAACATTAAATTTTATAAAAGTAGTTTATAATTAAGGGGAAAAATACGACAAAGAAAAATTCTGATACAGAAAATGCTGAAGATTAAAAAAAAATTCTGTTAAATTTATTATACTTAAAATTGAAATAAAAAAAAAATTTTTAAATTAAATTAAAGATTGAATAATGTTCTTGATGTTTCTTATAAATATATAACAAGTAATATAATTAATAATACAATTAAAATATAACTAGTTATCTGTAGGTACAGTAATAAAATAATTTTATATTCTGAAATAAATTTAATTTTTAATTCTATTAAAAATATTTAATTTCTTTTTCATTTTTGGCAATTATAATTAATTTCATATAATTTTTTTCTGATTTTCGCATTTTTATTATTTTCATTTATTAATATCAAAAATTCCAAATTATTTTCATAAGATTTTATAAATTTTACTAGCTGTCGTACCCGTCTTCGACGGGTTTTAGTTTCTACCAATACATTTAAGTTTCTACCAATCTGGAAAATCAGGAAATAGCTAGGGAATTTAATTTGACCGGAAAAAAATAATAATTAGTTACCATTATAGCTATTTTAGTAGGAAAATATTACTATTTGAATCAGTGATTGACTTTTTGTTATCAAATTAGTTATTTTAACCAATTCAAATGCAGAGAACAATATTTATCAATTTGTAGTACTTTAATTAATGTATTAAAAAAATTAAATTTTCCATACAGTTTTTGGAGTTATAGTAGAGTCTAATTGGAACTAATTGTATCGCAAGTAGACCCTACGTTACGACTGCTAAAACCTAACATAAGACCTAAATTTTAGGCTGAAAGTAGGGCTTAAATTTTGACTCGGGTCTGTTTTCATAAATATTATACATCAATAAAAATTGAAGTAAAAAGCAATTTTTTAAAAGCGAATTAATATAATGAAACTTTTTCTTAATTTGATAGGAAAATTCCCGGTTCGGCATATTCCCAGCTTTTTACAGTTTTTCCCGTTTGGTAGATACCCAGTTAAATGTATTAGTATAAACAGAAAACTGTACGACAGCAAGTAATACAATCTATATTTATATGAACTTAAGAAACAGTATTTTCATAAAATAAGTAAATTTTTATAGCCATTTGTAGATTTATTTATGGATAAAATCAAGTAAATTTAAATTTGACAAAAAAGAGATAAACCGTGAAAAGTTTGGACAAAGCAGGGAATTTTGTTAAACAAAAATAGACACCGTGTTAACTTTTGTCTTTACATTGCTCAAAACATCTCTTAAAGTTAAATCTAGAGTTAAAATGAAAAAACGTTTTAACATGTAAGTTTTTGCCTAGTGGCATAATATGCTTGTATTGTATCACAGGTGACTTACAATTCTTGACATCCTGCGAAATCATTTTAATCATAAAAAATTTCCATTTTCAATATTTCTGAACTTCTTGAAAATATTAGATTGATTTGATAAATAATTTTGAATTGCACTATTTTGACATCAAAATATTAATCAGAGACTCCAAAAATACTACTGAATTATACTTCATATAGTAATTAGTATCGATTTTTTGATATATTGAAAATTTTTTTATATTTCTTGTAGGATAGTATTTTTTGCAAAATTATGATAAAATCTGACTAAATAACATATAATATTCATTTTTAGAAAGTTTAAAAGCTATCCATTAAAAATTGTGAAATTTGGAAATTTTCCATTTTTCAAGTTTTTGAAAATATTTTTATATTTACATCTTAGTTGTAGAATAGTATTTTTTGAAAAATTATGCTAAAATGTGACCAAATAACATGTAATACTCAAATATAGAAAGTTTAAAAGCAATCCATAAAAAAATGTAAAATTTTGAAATTTTCGATTTTTTGAAAACATTTTTATACTTACATATTAGTTATAGGACTTTATTTTTTGCAAAGTTATGCTATAATGTGACTAAATAACATATAATACTCAAGTATATAAACTTCAAAAGCAATCCATGAAAAATAAAAAATTTTGAAATTTTCGATTTTTTGAATTTTTTCAAGAAATTGAATATCTCCCGTTCTAATTAATATTTTTTAAATCTGTAAATTTATAAACCTTCCTTGGGTCAATACCTAATAACCTACCAAGTTGGACTTAAATCGATTCACATGTTTTTGTGTGATTGGGGTACAAAGTTTTTGTGACAGACAAACATACATACATACATACATACATACATACATACATACATACATACATACATACATACATTAAATTTTTTAAGAACATTTTTGGAATCTCTGATGTCCATAATAACTAATCATGTTAACATTTTTAAGTTTTAAGCAATGTACAGACAGACATCTGATTTTATTAATAAGGATTTTATAAAAAAAAAATCTTTTCGTGTTTTGAATAAATTTGAAGCGATTTGAAGAAAGGTACAGTGGGGACAACAAACTTTAGAGGGCATTCGTTACATTTGATATTAAAATACACGGAAATTGAATTAATTCTCAATATTGGAAAAATTATATTAATTTGTCTAATAAAATTGCAAATGTACCCCAAATAAAATATTCAATGAAAATTAGATGAATTTTGTACCGAATTTTACCGAATCCGTAAAATTGTAAAAATCTGTAAAACTAAAAGTAGAAATAAAAATTATAATAATAAATTTTTATTTACACTTAATAATATTACGAACAGTTCGAAGCAACCTTCAGATAACAAAATAGGAGAAGCAATACAATAGACAGTCATAAACGGTCTGTTTTGTCAGACTTGCAGTCGTCTCTATTGTTGTCACTTCCCCCATCCCCTCACAATTTTTCATTCTAATTATTTCAATTTCAACAATAACCCGCAATAATTTAGTCCTTCTGGTACCTTTCTTCAGAGCTGATCTAACATTATTTTTCCAAAGAAAATTTAAATCAACGAAGAAAAAGTCATTGACATTGTATACATATAGGTATGTGAAATCTTTAATGTTCTTCTTTATTTCGAAATAATATTAGCAATAAATTGAATGTAGCAATATAATCTATATCCAAGTTATTTTGTGTTCAGTTTCTTCTCTCTCTCTCTACAAAAAATTTCTTGGCAAAAAAAAAAAAATTATTGTGTTATGCTTAATAAACTTGAAATATTGAAGCTTTTATTTCTCTGTTCTTCGACTGCCTGGATTCAATTTTATATATATTCTCCTGGAGAAACAAAGTCGTTTAGATTATTTCTCATATCGTTAGTGTATTTTTTCGATTAGTTTGGATTGAATTCTTGCAGAATCTAGAAAATGTACAGACGACGAGTTTGAATGCACGCCAGGGTACTGCGTGTCAAACTCCAGACGATGTGACGGAGTAAATGACTGCCAAAACAGAAGGGACGAGCTCTATTGTGGATCGCACAACAGTACGAAATATATTTTTGCGATAAAAAATTCACTTCTCATTTGGTGTATACATATGTATATATAAACTAAGGACTAAGTATTTTTATTTATTTTCTCCTAAATTATTTATTTTTTCGTACATTTTATATTTTTTATTTCATAGGTATTTTTTTATTTCTGTATTTTTTTTACTCCTTTACTTCTGTACTTTTTATTTTTGACTTTTGTATCTTTTTATTTTGTATTTTCGTAATTTTTATTTTTGTATTTTTTACTTCTGTATTTTTTTACTTCTGTATTTTTTACTTCTGTATTTTTTTACTTCTGTATTTTTTACTTCTGTATTTTTTACTTCTGTATTAAATTATTTTTGTATTTTTTATCTTGTATTTTCTTATATTGTACATATTTTATTTTTTTATTTTACATTTTCTTCTTTTGTATTTTTTTTATTTCGAAATTATTTTATATTTTTCCTTTTTGGTAACTCTTTCTATATTGTATTATTTTTATTTTGTATTTTTAATCACATATATAATTTTATTAATTTATTTGTTTAGCATTTCATCTTAAGATGCAATATGGAGATGTTACTCTCCACCTGCGAACGCCAAGGTCACCGCTAGATGGCAGTTCAGTTCCTTCTTGGAATTTCTCCTGCCACCTGGTGGTGACCTTGGCGTTCTTAAGTGGAGAAATTGAACCACCATTTTATTCCTCAACAATTTTTTTATTTTGAATTTATTTTGTATTTTTTTTTATTTTGTAGCTATAGTTACATGTAATTTCATAAATTTATTTATTTAGCATTTCATGGGTTTGCAAATAAACCCTTTTGTACATAAGTAATAGGTAATGGCAAAGAATTCCATATTCAAATAGTAATAATATGCTATATGGGTTGTTGTATCGTTATCATTCAGAAGTAGTCGAAGATTGGTGGTAAATCTCTAACAATATTCAAATAAATAAAATATTACAGTAAAATGTAATAAAATAATAAAATAAATATTATTATAATCATTTTTTTTATAATTTGCAAATTATAAAAAGAAATTTTGAAAAAAAAGATTACTATTAGTTATTATAATTATAATAATTAGTGATAATTTTTTCCTTAATTTTTTATATTTTTTTGCATTTTTTAAATATTTTTTATATTTAAAAAAAAAAAATTTATATTTTTTTACATTTTTTTTCTATATATATTTAAAAAAAATAATTTTCTTTTCTCAAATTATTTAATCCATACAGGCACATCGATAATGCAATATTGAACATAAAGAGTAATTTTTCATTATTTATATCTCTATGGATCATTTATTGCGCCGACAGTATACACAATATCTAATGTATTAAAAGTTTTATCTACTCAAATAGTTTTAAGCATGAATTGAAATTTGACATTTGCCTGCGCATGTGAATGAAGTTGTTTTTATTAGCGGATAAATACAATTAATAAGTAATTACTTTAATTGACATTTTAGCAATAAAGTTTAATTAAGCGTAAATGTATTCACTGGTTTTTAACAATATCGGATTATTTATTTACATAGAATTTCAGTCTTCTTCTGAAAGTGCAACAATTAAATTATACAATATATTGAAAGTGCAACAATATTATAATTTTAATTACAACTGTTAATATTTTGCATTTTCCCGGAATTGTATAATATTGATATTTAATATCAATGTAAAATTTACTTACTTTATTAGATTAATTATATTAATTTATTTACTATATTTAATATTATTTTATTTATATTTTACATTATTTACTTTATATTTTACATTATTTACTTTATATTTAACATTATTTACTTTATATTTACTATTATTTACTATTATTTACTTTTTTGTAATTTTCAGTTGATTCATTTTTTATTTATTAAGTTCCTTTTGTTTTCAATTGATACAGAAACTCGAATCTGTGGTCCGGATCAATTTGAGTGTGATAATGGTCGTTGCATCAACATAAATCAGAAGTGCGATGGTCGACAGGATTGTCGCGATTATACTGACGAGCACAATTGCAATGGTATTATTACTTATTTTGGTTTTTTGGTTTATTATTAATTTTTGATATTTGATATTATTTTTTTTAAATTTTTATTATTTATTTCTATGACTTATTTTTATTCTTTTCTATTATTTTTGTATTACTATTTATAATGTAATTTATTGTTTATTTAATTCTTTGCGTTTTTGTCAAATTGATTATTTTTGTTAAAAATATTTTTTTGTCTACAGAAAAAAACTTAATGGAATAGAGAAAAGTTTCTCTAGATTAGAGAAAGTATCTATTGAAACAACTATAAATTTAGCTAATTTAGTAAAATTTGTATCTGTTCCAGTTGAAGAACTTTTTCCGTGAAAAGATCGTTATTTTTGTCAAATGCGTTCTTTTTGTTAAATTTTTTGCTATTAAATTTATTTTTGTTAAATTTTTTTATTAAATTTATTTTTGTCAAATCCCTTATTTTTGATAATTCTTTATTTTTGTTTAAGTTACTTTTGCTAAATTAATTTTTGTCAAATGCATTATTTTCGTTATATGTACATTTATTTTTTTGGTAAATTTTTTGTTTACGTTAAATTTATTTTTGTCAAATTCGTTACATTTTGTCAAATTGATTTATTTTTTTAGTTAGTCAAATTCTTCATTTTTTTTAAACTTATCGTTGCTTCAAAAACCTCGGGGAAAATAACATTTTTTGAAATATTTTCGTTAGGAACAATTTATCGCCGGATTGAAATTTGGAAATTGAAAATTTATTCCTATAATCACTAATATAATTTAATTTTTGAAATTGAAATTCCAGTGACATCGTGTCCTGCAGATCAGTTCCGCTGTTTGGATGGCACCTGTTTGAATATAGATAAAAGATGTGACGGAATTCAAGATTGCCGCAATGGAGACGACGAGATCCAGTGTGGTAAGTCACTAATTTTTATTTTTATTTCTCATTTAATAATAATTCGACTTATAAATTATAATTCTGACAGTTGATCTTATTAAACGTTCGCGAACTCTTGATCAACTGTATTCTTTATACCGAATACCGAAAATTTTTAATATTTGCCACTGTCAAATTTAAAAAAAAAAAAAAAAAAAAAAAATACAATATGTTAAAATCTATGGAGAATTAGTCGATTAGCTTTTACTGAGGCTATGAAGACTTATTGCGCAAGGCGTGGCATTTTCATTAGGCGAAAGTTTTATCTGAATCCTCGATGTAGGCACCTGCAGACTATAATCTCAATTTTTATATACTTTAAACCAATTTTTATATATACAAGTTTTTTTTAAAAGTGTCTTTTTTTTGAGAATTGTCTTAAAAATCGTTTTTTATTTCTAATTATATAGTAAAGTTGATAGAAATTAATAAAGTTAATGAATAATTTTTGAAGCGCTTAGAAACATTGATCTTTATTTACAAGTTTCAAGACAAAAATTCAAATTGACGAAATAGTTACTGTTTGGATGATAAAAGGGCGCAATTATGACCGCTGCCTTTCTACAGTAACTGCAATTTTAGTCTTTAGTATTTATAAGTAGTTCGATATTGAAGAATATCTTTCTATTTCTCTAGAAAAATAATGGTATTCAATTTTTTTTTCCTAAATAAGAAAACTAGTTTTTTCTTGTTTCTTTTTAATCTTGTAGTTTGTGTACAGTGTAGAAAAAGTAACAAAGCTCATTTAAAGTCGTCGCGCTTCTCGTAACTAACTTGCAAAGTACATTATTTATAATATTACTAATAACAGATTCTAGTTGTAATATGAATAAAGTAATAATTGTTTAATTTTACATTAATAACAGTTAACAGAAATAATTAACAGTTAACAGTCAACAGTGGCTAACAGAAAATTTAAGAGTCAACAAAAATAGTTAACAGAAAAGTTAACAGCCAACAAAAATAGTTAACAGCCAACAAAAATAGTTAACAGAATGGTTAGCAGTTAACAGAAAGGTTAACAGTTAACGGAAATATTTAACAGCTAACAGAAAAATAGTTGTAAATGTTGATAGTTGATAGTTGACAGTTAACAGTTAATAGTTATGTTCAATTTGTCATTTGCGGACTAAATTCCATGTGTAGAATTTTTCCAGCATCATTTACTCGGTGGAAGGTCAGCTTGATTCGTCTCCCTTCCCATTACAAGGCAGCGTAAAAAAAAGGAAGAATTATTTATATATGCAATATGCAAATTTGACGTCGTAAATTTTTTTCATTCTTATCGATTCTCACACCACCTACATTACCCCACCTCATCCGAGTAAATGCATACCTAACTTAATTTATCCGCCATCACGCACGACAGAGCTTTTCAATTTTCCAGTACTTTACACTGACCAAACTCATTGAGACATAGGAATTTTTTCCTAGTTTTCTCCGTGCCCCATGGTTGTGTACCACCTTCCAAGAGTTTTTCAGATTTTTTTTATGTCTTTATGAGTTTCGTTAATAAATAAAAACTTTCCTTCTTTTTTTTTTGACAAAACTTTATATTTTTTCTTTTTAATTATAAATATAGAGAGTAGAGAATCTAAATATCTCTCTGAGTATTGTAGGAAATTTAAGAAAGGCAGTAGTAAAGTAAGAGAGAATAAAATTAAGAAAAGGTAAAAATATGAAAAGGAAAAGTTGAAAATTTAGGTTCTTATGAGCTTTTTTCTATGTGACAGGATAATTTTTTCTTTTGAGTGATATTCCGGAAGAAATTTATATACTTTTTCAGGTACACCTGACGAATTTAAGTGAAACTTGGTAGAATCATTTTTCTTGGTTTAAAGTTGTAGAAATACAACTTGTTGGAACCAAAATAATTGTTTATTTATGAGTTGGGTTGCCATAATTGTTTATTTATGAGCATTATTGAATAGCAATGAGCATATTTATAGAAGAATTTTTTAGTTAAAAACACTAAAAAAAAATTGAATTTTGAAGAAGTTATAAATGATTGCAGAAATTCAATTATTTTCAAAAGTAATAAAATTCTTCGCAGAAATTCGATTATGTTCAACAATTTATAAAAATTCTCGTCAAAATTTCAATTATCCTTAAAAATAACAAAATTCTTCTCTGAAATTCAATTATTATCAAAAATTTTAATAAAATTCTTGGCAAAATTTCAATTATTTTCAAAAATTTGCCTCAATTTAATGATTTTCAATTCCCTACCTATTTTAATAAAATTTTCCAAAAAAATTCAATTATTTAAAAAAAAATTTCATAAATTTCTACGTAAACATTTAATTTTTTTCATAAATAATAAAAAAAGTTCACAGAAATTCAAGGTATTTACGAATTTTTATAAATTTCTTCGCAATAGTTAAACTATTTTCGTAGATAATAAAATTAATTGCAGAATTTCAATTATTTTCAATACAATTTTAATCGAATTCCTCGAAAAATGTAATTATTGTTAAAATTTTTATTAAAATTCGTCCAAAGAATTCAATTATTTACAAATGTATTGATAAAATTCTTTATGATAATTTAATATTGAGAAACATTCAATTATTCAATAAATCATTTATTTTTATATTTAGATAATTGAATTCTCGTAGAATTTTCTAATAAAAATGTATTTAAAAATGAATTTTATTTAAAATTTTTAAATAGTAATTAATCGTAACAATTTCACAGAAATTTAATTATTTACAAATTTTTTATACATTTCTTTGCAAAACTTGAATTAAATTCTAAAATTTTCCTCAATTCAATGATTTTTAATATTTACTATTTTAAAAAAATTTTCCAAAATAATTCAATTCTTGAAAAAAAAATTTAATAAATTCAACGCAAACATTTAATTTTTTTCATAAATAATAAAAATTTCACAGGAATTCAATTATTTACAATTTTTTTTATATGTACATTTCTTTGCAATAATTCAATTATTTCCATAAATATCTAATAATATTTTTTAAGGGATTCAATTATTTTCATAAATAATAAAATTCTTTTTCGGAATTCAATTATTTTCATAAATAATAAAAATCTTTTTCGGAATTCAATTACTTTCGTAAATAATAAAATTATTTTTAGGAATTCAATTAATTTCATGAATAATAAAACTGATTGCAGAATTCCAATTATTTTTAATACAATTTAAATCGAATTACTCGAAATAATTCTTAAAAAATTTTTATTAAAAATCGTCAAAATAATTAAATTATTTTAAAATTTGTTGATAAAATTCTTTATGAGAATTCAATTTTTTGAGAAACATTCAATTATTCAATAAATTATTTTTTTTTATTAAAAAAAATAATTGAATTGTAGAATTTTCTATTAAAAATTGATTTAAAAATGCATTTTAGGTAAAATTTTAGATTTTAATTAAATATTAGAAGAGTTATAGTGTTGAATTTTGAAAAGGTTCTTTTTTTATTAAAATTTCTGTATAGGTAATTAATTTTTTTGTAAAAATATTTAATTCTAATTCTTTTGAAATTATTTAAAGTTTTTATTTTCTAATAAAATATATTATTAAATATATTAAATAAATTATTAAATATATATTTAATTGAAGAATTTCCGAATAATCGAAATATAAAATTGAATTGTAAACAAATGGATTTGAAAATTCTTAAAATCTTTTTCAAAAGTTATTAAAAATAATTGATTTAAAGAAGAATTTTAGTCAAAAATTGTAGAAAATAATAATTGAATTGAAATGACTTTAATCATTTGACTCTCCTTGTTTTATATTACAATAAATTCTCATAAGTTTTTGAGTTTCAAAAAGGTTATTGAATTTCAAATTTTTGAAAAACTTAATTCCTATATGGAAAAATAATAATGATTAAATATTTATTTAAAAATAAAGTTATTTATGTTTTCGAATAATTTCACAATTAAAGAAATTTTATTGCCTCGAAAAGTTGACTTTCCTGAAATTTATATTAACAAATAAATTTATTCTAATAAATAAAAAAATATTTATTCTAATAACCACCAAGTTTCATTTAAAACTGTGAGAGTGCTCCGAAATAGAATAAATTTCTTATGGAATAATACTTGAATGATTTCATTTTACTCTCTAAATTTGAATCAGTAAAATTTGTCTCTAAAATTCAGTGAATCTATTCTCACGATTTAAATCATATCCGCAACTTATTTTCGGTATGATTTTATTGATAGAAATCGTGAGAATAATGTCAGTGAAAATCAGTTCCATTTTTACTATGTCTAAATCTAAATTAGTATTTTTCCTAATTTTTAGTAGAAACCTACTAAATTAGAGTTAAATTAGTAATAAGTATACTAATCTAAATCTAAATTAGTATTTTTTCTAATTTTTAGTAAAAAAACTACTAAATTAGTATTTTTTCTAATTTTTAGTAAAAAAACTACTAAATTAGTATTTTTCCTAATTTTTAGTAAAAAAACTACTAAATTAGTATTTTTCCTAATTTTTAGTAAAAAACTACTAGATTAGATTTAAATTAGTAATTAGTATACTAATCTAAATCAGTATTTTTCCTAATTTTTAGTAGTTTTTTTACTAAAAATTAGAAAAAAATACTTTAGTTTTAGAGAGCACTGATTCAGTTTTACTGAGTATTGTCCTTTGTACTTTTTTTGAGAATTTGTTTTTGACCTTTTTTTTATACTAGTGGGTGGTGGGTTTATGTTTAAAGAAAGACTGTTAAAGAAAGTATAAAAATACGGTGGAGGGTCTATGGGTGGGATAAAAGCAGAGCAAAAAAAAAAAGAAAAAAAAGCATGAGTGTGGTGTATGGAGCAGGTTGCAAAGCTGCGGAATTTAGCTGCGCGGACGGAACTTGCATCGACTATGGGTTGCAGTGCAACGGCTACGAGGACTGTCACGACGGCTCTGACGAGAAAGATTGTGGTAACTATATACCATCACAGTCACAACAATTTTTCCTTCTCTTTTTCCCCTCTCGCCTCACACAATCACCTCACATATACACATACTTTGCACCACTAAAAAAAGATTTCTTCAAAATAACATTTCTTTTCTCAAGCTTCGTCATTACGTGACATCGATATAGTCGCACATTTTATCAATAATATACGTCGATAGTCACATTTGCATTTATCAATGCATCGATGTTCACGTTTTATCAATAGAGCGATACACGCAAATTTTGTCAATACATCGTCCTCGATAAGACAAAATTTTGCTTCCTCTTAGAGGATTGATTTTTTTTACGTAATTTATTTTTTTTTCTTTTTTACAAAAAATATTTAAACACACAGAACATAGTTTGATTTAATTTGTATTTAATTAATCCATTTCTATTTAAATATTAACTTATACACTGAGAAAAAAATTATTTGATTCATATAACCGATTAATTGTTTATTCTCAAATAAATATTTACTTGAATCGAATAATTTTTATTAATTAATAAATAATTAATTTTTCTTTGATTCAGAAACAATTTATTTGTTTCAAAGAAATTAAAGAATTGTTTCTTTGGCCCTATGTCAGTATAATGAAATTTCTTAGATTTAAAGAATGTCTTGAATTCAAAGAAAATTTGTATAAATCAAAGAAATCTTTTTTTTAAATCAAAGAAATTTTCTTCGTACCAAAAAAACCGTGTTTTTGTTTGAAAGAAAAATTTAATTTTAGTGAAACAAAACGAGTCTAAGAAAATCCTTGATTTGACGAAAACTTTTTTTCTATGTTTGCATATTTTTTATAAACAATATTTGTCTAAAAAATTATTTGATATATAATATTAATTATAATATTTAATTGCTTATAACAAAAAATGATGATTAATTTGTTTCAAACTATTTTCTGGGTGTGTAAAAATGTATTCTTTAAGTTTTAAAATGTGAAAATTTCCTCGCTTGTAATAGAGGAAAATTATAAGGTGGTTAGAGGTCAAGTTGAAGAAAAACGGAAATTTTTTATTTTCTTTTTTTTTGAACTTCTTCTATATATTCAACCCGAATGCACATGCATACGTAATAATGCAATACACATTCTTGCACTTTATCGTACAGGCACGAACGCGTGGAGGACAATGTGTATAGAGGTTGGAAAAGCCATAAAAAGCCATAAAGAGGGACTTCCTGACTTGAGGCATTTTTCCGGTTTCAAGTTTTGTCTTCGCAATTCTTCGTCCTCTTTTTCTTCCTTTTTGCTATTTTTAAAAGTCAGTTAACCGACATACTTCTTTGATCAACTTTAAATCATTTTCCTATTTTGTCTCTCATTTTTCTTTTTCTCATTTCCTTTACTTTCTTATATTCATTTATTTTCTATTGTCTTCAAAGTTATTTTTATTTTTCTGTTTATTTTTGTGATTTTTCTTTATATTCCTTTTTCTTGTTTTTTATTTTTCTGTATTTTCCATTTCTTCCCTTTTCGGTTTTTTGCTCTTTTTAATTTTTTCTTTTTTCTTTTATTCTCGTTTTTCACTTTTTTTGGCTTTCTCAATTTTCTACTTTTTATTTTTTTCATTTTTCTGTTTTTTCTTTACTTTTATTTTTCTTTTTTGATTTCTTCTTTATTTTCAATTTCCTTTTATTTATTTTCTTTTTTTCATTTTTTCACTTTTCTTTTTTTTCTCTTTTTTCAGTTTTCTTTATTTTTACTTTTTTGTTTTTCCTTTTTCTATTTTTTCAGTTTTCGGTTTTTTCTTTATTTTCGCTTTGCGATTTTTCCACTTTTTGATTTTTTCCCTTTTTCAATTTTTTCTTTTTTTCCTTTTTCTGCTTTTTATGTAATTTTCCTTTTTCATTTGTGATTTTTTCTTTGTTTTCAATTATCTTTTTCTTTCATTTTCTTTGAACCATTTTTTCACTTTTTGTGTTTTTTTTCTATAATTTTCCTTTTCTATTTTTGATTTGTATTCATTTTCAATTTTCTTTCATTTATTTTCTTTTCTCCCTTTTTCACTTTTCTTTTTTTTCTTTTATTTACTTTTCTATTTTTTCTTATTTTCAGTTTTCTTTATATTTACTTTTTTTGTTTTTCCACTTTTCGGTTTTTTTGTCCTTTTCAATTTTAATTTTTTGTGTTTTTTTTAATTTTCCTTTTCCATTTTTGATTTTTTCGTTGTATTCGTTTTCAATTTTTTTTCATTTATTTTCTTTTCCCCATTTTTTTAGTTTTCTTTATTTTAATTTTTTTTTTGTTTTTCCTTTTTCTATTTTTTTTTTTACTTTTTGGTTTTTTCTATATTTTCACTTTGCCATTTTCCATTTTTTGTCGTCTTCAATTTTCCATTTTTTCTGCTTTTTCTTTAATTTTCCTTTTCCATTTTTGATTTTTTTGTTGGAATTTTCAATTTTCTTTCATATTTATTTTCTTTTCTTATTTTTTCACTTTTATCTTTTTTCTCTTTTTCATTTTTTCAGTTTCCTTTATTTTAAGTTTTTTTGTTGTTCCTTTTTCTTTTTTATATTTTTTCTTTGTTTTCATTTTTTTTTATAAAACTTTGAATCTAAGAATTAAGGTCCTAAAAACAAAAAAACTAATTTTTATTTATTTTCACTTTTTAATTTTTTCTTTTTTTAACTTCTTTTTATATTTTCTATTTTTTCACTTTTCTATTTTTCCTTTTATTAATTTTTCTTTATTTTCACTCTCCGATTTTATTCTTTTTCTCCAATTTTCTATTTTTTTCTATATTTTCTCCTTCATCATATATATTTTTAACTTTTTTTTTCTTTCTTATTTTTTTTTGACTTGTTGTATTAGCTTCTTCCTGTGTCCTTTTTTAAAAGTTTATCTTTCTCCTGCCACTGCGACTATCTCAGTATTTGTCTTTCTCCCTTGTTCCTACATTGACAAGCAATGAATCGACAGTTGTACGTCGACAGAAAGGATTTACGGCTTATCATGAACGAAATGGTGACGTAATTACAAAGTAGAAAGAAAACCATTGACTTGTTGCATCTTGCCCTCTTTATATATAGATAAAAGCGCCTCTACCCACGTATAAAAATCGATTAGAAAAATATCCAAATAAATTTAATCGAAATTATTTCCCCTTCGATTAATCATTTTCCCTTGGATAATTCAAAGTTTATTTTTACCAAAAAGTCTATTTTCAAAAATAAAATACCTACAAATAAAGAAAAAAATAAAAATACAAATAACAATTTTAGATTTTACAATTTCTTTTTTAATTTTTTATTCGTTTTATCAAGATTTTTTTCTGAATCTTTTTTTCGAGCTTATTTTTGATCTATCCTTATTTTTTTTGTCAAGTGCTATTTTTAAAATTCTCAAGATAGTATAAGTTGACTGTTTAAAGTAATAAATTTTGAATTTGCTTTAAAATTTAAAATTTCTCTCTCACTACAAGAAAGATATTTTTCTTTTTCTATAAATATATACGAAACCGTTCGTGCCTGTCGATCTTTATTACATGTACTCGTTTTATTTTTATTTCATTGCTGTCGTCATTCTCATACTCATCCACGTAAACACCATGACGTGTTCGTATATTAGATGAAGTTTCAAGGCGAATTATCAAAATTGAAAAAACTCAAAGGAACAAAATTTTTGGACACGGATCAACGACAAATATTAAAACCACCATTCAATCTCATTCGAAATCAAATAAAAAGAAGAAGAAACATTGTAATGAAAATACGAAGAATAATAAGAATTGCACCGAATCGTCATCTGTAGGAAGAACAAAAAATGAACAAGTAAAATTAGTCGAAACTAATGAAATAGAAGAAAATAACGAAATCGGAAAATATCAAATCGGAGAAATTAAAATTGGGAAAAGTGAGAAAATTACAAATGAGGAAATTGAGTCAAACGAAGAAATAGAGTCGAACGAAGAAATTGACTCAAATGAAGAAATTGAGTTGAATAATGAAATAGAGACAAATATTTCAGAGTCAGAAAATGAAATAGAGTCAGAAAAGAAAAAATCAAATAATAAAGAGACGAATAAAAATCGAGAGAAGACGAAAAATAAAGATTTAACGAAAGCTGAGAAAAATATTATCATTACCACAAATACGGAATTGTCGAAATCTTCAAAATCGCCAATGATTACAGTTCTTCAATACGAACCGATTTTTGATTTCAATCGAACTATTATTCTAACGACGAAATATCAGAAAGAAGACACTTCCGTCAAGAAAACGACAAATAATGAAATTTCAAATAATGCGATTATTAGAATTGAAAGTAAGCATACAAAGGAAAAAAAGAAGACAAATAAAAAGGGTAAAAAAGGCTCGAATAGGTCAAAAAGAAAACGACACTTTTCGACGACCACTGAAAATTCACTTAATTCGGAATTAAACGTCACGGCGATAGTGAATCAGAAAAAAGAAGAGAACTCTGGAAGTACAACGGAAAATTTTACCGAAGATTTTAGAGTTGTTGTCTTTTCGGATTTGAAAAGCGATTCGGAATTCGCTAGGCAAGAGGATAAAGTGAATAATGAGAAGAAGAAATTAAAAGCTAACTTTACGCAAGAAATTGTAAAAAATAGTTTGGAAAATTCGAGTATTCATTTTCATAACGGTTTCAGTAATTTTAATAGCAACAGTAGTTTTGGTGACGAAATTAAGGACAACGAAGTCGAGAATGGATTAAATTCACCGCCGAGTAACAAAGTCGATAATAAATTCAATTTAACGCTGAATAACACAGACGAGGGGAAAATTAATTTGCCCCCAAATAACAAAGTCGAAGGCAAATTGAATTTACCTCCGAATAACAAGTTTGATGGTAAATTGAATTCACCCCCGAATAAAAAAGTTGAAGGTAAATTGAATTCACCCCCGAATAAAAAAGTTGAAAGTAAATTAAATAAAATAAACAAAGAAAGTAAATTAAATAAAATAAAGAATGAAAATAAAATAAGCAAAGAAAGTAAATTAAATAAAACGAACAAG